AGGAGCAGGAGGTGACGGAGGGAGATCAGGGAATGGAGGAAAAGCGTAAATATCCCCAAATTACAGCTACAGAGTGACATCAGGATTGCTAAGCCCCACTCTCCTCTCTAATGTTCACTAAATGACCTCCATTACAGCGTCTGCTCCCATTAAGTCAACACAGGGGAGATCACCTGAGAAAAACCACGGTTAGTGCTGACAGATAAAATAAAAAATAAATTAACAGCTCTGGGTCGCATTAGATTATGGGCCACGTGTTTTTGTGGGCTCGATGTGGTATCGACCCCAACTTGTTTGTCGGTGCAAGAGAGCGTGAGCATGAGGGTAAATCACAGGGTAAATAGCAGAGATCACAACTTTGTCAATGCTCGAGGGGAAGAAACCACGAGAGACGTAGAAGGGGGGTCAGCCGTGTGGTCAGACAGTGGAGGAGAATCCTGACATTTAAATGTCACGACCTGATGAAGAGCAGTTGTTGATCAGATGCTGTTGTTGACTGTGTGACAGACAACATGTGCTGAGAAACACAGTTTCTGTCTGGTTGATGATGGGTTGATTATTATATTATCTACTCACTGTGGCTCTAGGTGAGACTGATTGTGACCTGGGTGACATGACAGGCTTAAGTATAAAATACACAAAGATGGAGCAGTCAGTACTCATGGCAGGAGGAGAGCAGGTCACCTGCAGGACCTACAGCAATGTTTTTGATACACTATTATGTTGTAGGCCTACAGAGAACATACTGTTATATCTCTCAGCAGTTGCACTTTTTATTTTATTTTATATTGTGCATTGCTGAAATCTGCTTGGATTTCAGTTTTTCAGTATATACCTGTATACACTTTTAATCCCCATAAATACAGATACGAAAGTTGAAACATCAAACAGAGGAGAATGTTTTGGGTCTGTTCTTTATCTGGTGACTCCACAACTTCAGGATTTAACCTTAACCTGGGACCACTGAGTAGGTGGAATCGAACCACCAACCATCTGCATGGTAGACTGGCAGTCATCAAAATAAACCATGATCTCTACATTGGATTAACTCAGGTGTTAACGGTCCAGCTGAGCAGACAGAGACGATGCTGGGGTCTGTGACAGTGTGTACTGTCAGACGTTATCCAATCAGAACCCAGTGGTTTCAGTGTTAGCAGACCAAGTTTGGTGCAGTGGTGCAGTGGTGCGTGTGCGTGTGTGTGTGTATATACACATAGATATGTGGTGCATGTTGTCATAGCAGACGTCCCAAAGGAGCAGGAGAGAGAGAAGGGATGTATTTTAACACTTCAAAGTGCCTTCATTCCATGCAGCTGAGCTCAGGGTGTGTGTTCCTGTGTGTGTGTGTGTGTGTGTATGTCTGTATCATTACCTGAAAATGCATGCACACTGAATTTCCCCAGAGTAGATCAATAAAGTCTGATCTAATCAAGTGTAAAAATAAGGTCAGACATTTGCATCTGTTCTTGAAGAGAACATTGGTCTGTCTGTCAGACTGTGACCTGAGCTGCAGGTTCAGAATATCTGAGACATAACCAGCACACCCACACACACACCCACAGAGGCTGTGGGTGTGTGTGTGGGTGTACCAAAGCCTTTTCTCTCCTCCATCTCCTCCATGTCTCAGTCTCTTTCTTCTTCTTTAGTGGTGTTTCAAGTAGACTGTTTTGGATGTTGACCTTTGACACCAGTTCACAACCTGCTTCTTGGTCTGGTCTAAGAACTGAGATCCACTTCCTTTAAATGTTCTGTTGGTTCTGGGAATTTTTTTTGCAGATTTTCAATAATTGTCACAGGTTTCTGCTCAGGTTTGGTGTTTGACGTTGGCACCTGGAGAACAGATGCTATGACTGTTCCACATGTGCAGTGTGGTGATACAGTAAAGTGAGGGGAGTGCAGTGTCACACAGTGTCACAGTGACTGACACCGTGCTGAAGGTAAAACCCTCCTGTTCATAGCTTTGTCTCCTCTTTAGCCGCAGGAGAAAATGGAAACAGCTGACGTTGAAGCGCTGCAGTCGATACCACTCTCCTTAAGAGACGCTCTCTGCCAAAGAGCAAAACTGATGTAGACCAGGAAGAGTGGGCGATGGGCCGCACGTGTCAGGTTTCATCTTCCCTCTGTGACACTCTGTGCTCTGACAGCTCTGCTCTCCTCAATGTAGTCTTAATGCCATCTCCTCTCTCTCTCTCTCTCTCTCTCTCTCTCTGTCTCTCTCTCTCTGTCTCTCTCTCCCCCTCACACACACTTTTCCTTCATGTCGTCTGCCTTTTCACATACACACACTCTTGTCTCCATTTCTCTGCTACTCACTTTGTCTCAATCACTCTCTTGTCCCCTCTGGGCGGACATTTTCACAGCATATGTCCGACTGCTGCAGGAGTTACTACTGTATATATGACTTTATATATGTGTTTTTAAATAATGTAAATCAGACCTCCTTTAAATACACACATTAGCCAGATATATAAAATAGATAGGTAATAATTCTTACATTAGTTATTTAATAGTGTTTTTAACCAGATTATTGTGTAATAATTCCATCATTTGCATTATGGAATTATTAATGATTATTAATGATTAATCTGTTTAAAAGCTTAAATATTAACATCTACTTAATTTCGACACAGATTTAAGGATTTCATTTTGATACACATCCCTTATTATTATTATTATTATTAACAAATTAACACTTATTTGTTGATTTATCGCCACAAATATTTGTGCACCAACAAATTACATATACCTAAGACATACTGTACAGTATTTTGCAGTATGTTCTCTATCTGGACTCTAAGCTTAAATCCTGACTGATCAGCCTTTAAATAAATCCACTTCTTCTTGTGGTATCACACACACAAGAAGAAAATCTTTACGAACCTTCTTGACTCTGGACGTTCTGCTTTTTAAATGCAGTATTCATTTTTTTTACCCCTAACTGTAAAGTATTTGTGTTTGATTTGACTCAGCTGGGACTAAATAGACTGTTCTCCACCAGAGTTTGTATTTTGGTCCTTGAAACATAGGGCTCATGGACCTTTAAAAGGACTTGGTGAAGAAAGTCTCTGGATGACGCCTCCACCAAACAGTAGTTAGAGGAACTGATGTAAAATGACGATGTGTGTCGTTTATTTCTCAGCAGTCAGAAGTACTTTGTGTGCTTGAGATTTCACCTGTCTCTCCTACACACTCCTGCAGTCCATAATAACCAGTTTTCTCTCTCCAATCAGTGGAGGCGCTGCACATTGGTTCCTCCTGTAATTACATCCCACACACAGCATCAAGTGGCAGATTGAACTCAGAGCACAAAGACGACAACCTGAGACACAGACACAGATCTCATCTGCTATAATGGATTCACTCTGTCGCTGTGTGTGAGTGTGTGAGAGTGTGACAGACTAGGCTTCACATACAGTACGACATCTTGATCAAACAAAGGCACCTGCTGACATGCACGCGCTCTTCGCACTGCATGTACAGACATAAAGTACACGTTTGATCACAGTACTGTTGAACATGTTTGGGGTTTTTTTATTCTTTAAACACAGGCTCTGAGTGACATCTCTGCTGTAAAATGTCAGGATGCACATGTGCAACAGAAAAGTGTTTTATTTGATTAACTCTTACTTAGAAAAGTGTTTTATTTGATTAACTCTTAGTCTAAATAACTGCACAGTCATGCAATAAGCCCCTTATATATATATATACATACATTTTTAATAAATGCATATATATATATATATAATATGTGTATACAGTGGGGCCTCGAGATACAAGTTCAACTTGTTCCACAACAGCACTCCTATCTCGATTGCATTTTCCCCATTAAAAATAACTAAAAACCAATTAATTTGTTCCAGCCCCCAAGAAATATACTATTAATTAATATGTTTTATATTACCCCATCTAAACATCAAATACATAGATATAAACAAATATATTGATTATATAACTAAATAGTAATAATTAAGAAAACATTTTATATAATTTTTTATAAAAATGGCTTAACGAACCAAGCGAGGGACAGTGAACCAGACAGCGTGTCTGCATTTGATGTTTCTGTCTGCAGCTGTTTGTGGCAGGTTCTCATTAGAACCACAGTTTGGTCACCAACAGGAGTGCTGGTCTTACAAGCACACGTACTGTGCACACACACACACACACACACATTCATAATCAATAGTCCAGCCCTGGTCTGTCTTCAGGTCCATATATTGATCGTCCTGTGCTGTTACATTAACAGGTGTCTTTGTCTTCTTCACCTCCTCACTCTGCATGTGTCTGTTTGTGTGTTTGTCTGTTTGTTCTGAACTATTTCCACATCCTTGTCTTTGTGCTGCATCTTTAAACAATAGGAGAGAACCAGTGGATTAAAACACGTCAATACTGCTTCAAGTACTACGTCAAATATTTTAAGCTAAAAGTTGATCAGTTAAGGTGACGAATAATGAGTTAAATGAAAGAAAAATGGTGTTGAATGTCAGTTAGAAGAAATGAGAATCACTTTTCTGTGAGTGTGTGTTTCTGTGAGTGTGTGTTTCTGTGGGTATGTGTTTCTGTGGGTGTGTGTTTCTGTGAGTGTGTGTTTCTGTGAGTGCGGTCCTCGCTTTGAAATGGTCAACAGGGTGTCTGTGTGTGTGTGTGTGGGCGTGTTTACTTGAATTTTTAGGCTCAGTCGTGCTTTTAATGTCAGAAGAAATAGCGCACACTTCTTTGTCTGTGTCTGTGTGTGTGTGTGTGTGTGTGTGTGTTTGTGTCTGTGTCTCTGTCTCTGAAGTAAAGAGCTCCTGTGGTGAGATTGCATTGACTGCTGTGTTATTGCTCTTTAATTATCAATTACAGCAGCCCCCTGTCCTGGGCAGAGTGAGGGGGAGGAGGAGGCGTATGTGGAGGTGATAATGAATACAGAGCTGCCATTAGGACAGTAACTGGCCTCTCTGTCTGAGGAGGAGGAGG